TATCTGCTCACCTCATGTTATCAGCAAAGCAGTTAATAGCTCCAGGTATCAGGGAGCTTTTTCTGAGCCACAAAGTGTAGTAATCATCAGTTTTCTTGCTACAGTACCAGTGAGGAACTTCTGGTTTGTTGAGCTTCGCTTGCAGTTGACTTCCTCCTGTGCCAGGCACTAAGGAATGAACAAAGTATGGAATACAATCGCCTCTATAAGACGGCCGGACAGCTCTGTAAAACGGACACCTAGAGTTGGTCCCTGCCCGTTTCTGTACTCCCTTTTTTCACTCTCTTTAAGACGGACACTAAGTGCCGCACTGTCCAAATGGTGTCCGTCTTAGAGACAGCCTGTAGTTGACTGTAGTCACAAGTGTTATTTTCCTGTGTGCTGGTTAGGGGTCCCCTTGTACAGCTCTTATACCATTGCTCCACTCATTTTAATACTCTCATCTGAGGTGACGATTTCGAATTGGAAATGTTTTAAGTTTTCTTTCTATACGTTGATAAAGAGTGGTTCAGTTTAAAAGGTGAGCGCGGAATATTTGACTGTTTCATTTTATGGATTAGGAATTAAGCAGAAGTGCTTCTATTCCCAGAAAAAACCGTCATCATTACAACAGCTTTTATCGTTCAGTGTCGTTATTTTCGCGAAACGTTAATCTCTATTCTACTCTACCCTACTCCTGTCCACTACACTGTACCCTGCCCTACTCTGGCCTTTTCTAGCGCCCAGACCCTGGGCCGGAGGGCTGATGGCTACGTGCTAAGAAGGTAAAACATGACGTGACTAGGTACGTTGTCCTCTTCCTTACGTAACAAGTATGAAAAAGAGTAGTTAGTGTTATGTAACCTATCCGGCTTTTAAAGGCATGTAATCACGTAAAATACATAAGCTATTCAAACGACACATGGGTGATATTACCTCAAACTATTGTTGTTCTTGTTAGAAGCCCTAATAGTCACGATCTGGGATTTTTCGGCTTCGATTTCTTATTCTATGGCATGATTGCAATAAAAAAATTCAAACTATTTACCGATTATCAGAGGCGTCTTAATGTCGTTGGTTGAAGTTGGGCGTTTTGTTGGTTTGTTCCAGAGCCAAAATCCCTCTACGGAACAGTAAAGGCAGATAAATGCTACTGACATAAGAATGTTTTGAAGCCACATATTCACGGCAAGGAGATCTCGTGAGGCTGACCAGGATGGTGGAATGAATGTGACCTTGTCAGTTTTTTTTTCTGTAATATAATAATCGCAACTTGATCCCGTGACCCCTTGAACAATAACGACCAATCACAGACTAGATCTTGCTCTCCTCAACCTTGGTCAGCAAGAAAAGTTGCTTTATCATTGATCCACTGACTTGTTGTCTGTGAAAACACACTAACATGAAAATTTACATTATACATTTTAATATTTGTATTTCCTAAAATTATTGTTAACATTAGGCAGATAAGCAGCTATCTGATAAAATTAAAGTTACATTCCAATTTACATTCGATACATCAAGTATTTGTATTTTGTTTCAATAGAAAAATGTTTCAATTCTTTTCACGACATTTTCCTCTCAGTGTCTTTATTTTCTGGACTATTTTTCTCTGTCAGCTGTTCACATGTTTGTACTATTCTTTTTGTGTTACAATAGCAATCCAGACCAACAAGCCTACAGCTGGAATATGTACTATTCACCAAAATTTGCTATAAAATCATCTAACACAGATCTTATTAAAATTTCTGCTTAGGGTCCCTTTCACAGATTTCCCCTGAGTAATTAAAATTCCGATATTAAAAGAGAATGTCATAGAAGACTTTTTCTTTCTTTCTTTCTTTCTTTCTTTTCTCTCTTTTTTTCTTTCTGTCTTCTTTTCTCTGTAGTTTTTTCTCTTAACCCCGAGTCCTCGCGCATTTCGTCTCTTTCTATACCTTTCTTGGTGGGGTTCTTTAAACATTGCTCGCTTCAGTGGTAAGAGTTCGTAATTCTGTTATTATTAATGCTACCT